AGACATTGTGTCTATATTTTGGAAGAGAAGATCTTCATGTGTGGACACTGCAGGCGGAGGTGGTGCAGGTCTTCCATCATTGCTGCAAGTTGCTCTCAGTGATGTTGTTTATTCTGAAACAGAGACAGAATCATTCCAACAGATGTTTTGACTCCTGTCATTAACAATGAAATGAACTGGAGCTGCAAAACTAGCCGACAAACACTGAGCTAAACTTCATATTAACATACACACAATACACACTTCCATTAATCTGCTCTTCAACGCTGTCACTGTTAACACTAAGATCCGTAACGTAACCTTAGCTTTGCACAACTAATTTTAAAACACGTTATAACACTTTTTTCCCTTGGTCTATGGTTTTAATACAAGTGGTTACACCACACAGTTAGCTTACACACAGTAACATCAGCTACAATAACATTACAAGGTTTCTCCTCATATATGTGATATTTACCAAATGTGGACATGTATGCAATTAGCTACTAAGTTATTTCAATACTAAGCTATAAAGTTTACTTCGACTTATGAATGCTAACTGTTAGCATCAACTTGCCTGTTGTGGAATGCTAACTGTGAGCATGCATAGTGTCCTCGGTTCTCAGGTCGGATCCAACCTGCACTCCTCAGCTCCACCCTCTCAAGCAAATATGGTTTCTTTTGGTTTCAAAAAACCAAGATGGCTAAAAAATGCAAACTCCTGGCTTCAAGAAGCTTGTTCACAAACCAATGGGTGATGTCATGGTGGGTTGCCACTTGGTGGCACTAGAGGACGTCGGGCCCTCATGCCACCCTCATTGAGTTTGTGATAGTTTGGGCACAAACATGCACACCAGTAGCCTGCTGGAGGTTACTTTGTAGGGCTTGGTTAGTGCTCCTCCTGTTCCTCCTCGCAAACTGGAGCAGGCACCAGCTTGCAAAGACACAGCAAACCTTCTTGCGACCGCATGTATGGATGTGCCATCCTGGAGGAGCTGGACTACCTGTGCAACCTGATTGGGCTGCAGGTACCACCTCATGCTACCAGTAGTGACAAGGACACTAGCAAAACTCAAAACTAGAGATGAATCAGCCAGGAAGGATCAGGAGAGAGCAACTGTCTGCGACCACCACATGCAAAACCATTCCCTTTTTGGGAAAGTTCAGCTTCCCGTTGGTGTTGAAACACCGAGATTCATCAGGGCAGAGACACTGGAACCTTAATTTGTTAGACCTCTTCAGTGTTTTCCCCTGGTGGTTGACTTAAAACAAAACTTCTTCTGGTCTTGGACTTAGTACTCCTCCTTCTGTGGGCCAGTGAACCCTCTGACCTCTGTCACCATGCCAAAACAATCAGGAGGGATCTGATTGGCTGCTGCAGATTGTGTGATTATTCAGAGGCGAGCAGAGGGAAGTGGCTTCCGGGTTACTTTCATATTAAGCCGCCCATTGAATATGTGAAGTAGTGTCACTCCCATCATGCCTCTGGGCTATGCTAGTACACTTAATGGAGGAGTAATAAGACTACTACAGGACTTGCTCGGGGCTTGAAATCATCAATTTATACAAATGACAACAGCAACAAACAATGAAGATAATGTTCTGAAAAGTAAAATTGTTTTATACCTACAAACGTTGATTTCACAGAAAATTCATGTTGACAGTTAGTTGTGATGTTAAAGGGAAAACAAGTCATTCAGTTTGCTTTAGCTTTAGAGCTTAAAATCACTTTGGATTCAACACAATAAATCATAATCGGACAAAAATATTTAGTTTGACCTGTTTTTGGAGCATTTTTAATAAGAAATTGATGCTGCATATGACAGATATTACAACTTGTTAGATAAAGTTATCAGGAGGGCTTTACTTTCTTACCTTTTTGTAATAAGGCATATTCATATAGCACGTCTTCTATCTATTCTTATAGGCCTACTACTTATTTATAGTGGAGCATATCAAATAAAATGTGTTGATTTTGGTCATTTTTTACACTGAGATATTGTCCATGATGATTTGGTTTTATCGTCTTACCACTTTTCAGTTTTACTGAGTTTACAGTTTTATTTGAATATATTTATTAATTAAGTCACTGTTATTTCATATTGTATGCGTACAATTAGAGCAAAAAAGTGAAAGCGAAGCTCTTTTAGAGAGCAGAGAAATTATACCAAGACCAATGAGGTGATTCAATTGCCAGGAATTTTGGCATATATCCATATTCTGTGAAGGAAAGAGGAAGTGTGCTAGGTATGAAGTGATCGTGAATACAGAAGATGTCCAACCAAGGCGACACTTTGGTTTTGGTTCTGTTTAAACTATCTATTGGTCCAGCAGAGTTTAAGAGTTTAATTGTGAACAAAATATTATTTTTGCTGGTTACAAAACCAACCACCCACCTCAGACAAGTCTATCTAATGGAAAACATAATTTATGATGGTCACCTGTTTATTGTGATTGTAATGTAATGTCGCAGGGCTTCTACAGTGTTCATCAGGCTCTGACTTTTGAATACCACAGAGAATGTAACTTAAAACCTGTGTGATGTAAAACCAGTCAAGATGATATTACCCCACATTATTTATTATTATAGCTCATATTTTCATACTGTATACTTTCCAGCAGTGTACAACAATAATCTAATGATATAATTCTTTAAATTAATAGAAATTGGACCCCAATAAGCAGCAGAAAATGGATGAATGAATAACGATTTACTCAACACTGCATGTGGTGGGGAAAAGAACATATTTAACACTTTTGTAAATAAAACTGAAAACTTTTAATTCCTTTAAGAGCAGCAGACAGCCTGACTCAGCTTTCAAAACATATTCAAACTCCTTCAAAATTTGAATGTAGGATTACTCCGGCCTTTATTCACTGTGAGTGCATATATAGAGTTAGCCACAGCACTTATTTTTAATAAGTTTTCAAAATATTCCAAAAACACATTTTCACCTTGTCATTATGGTTTATTCAGTCTAGATTTATGTGCAAAAATGGAAATTTTATTCTTTTAAAAATTAAATCTACAAAGTGATGAAAGGAAAGTAGAAGCTGACTTTGGCCTCTCAGTCTGTACAGTTTAGAAATGTGTCTAACCCAATGCTGAAAGGTCCTACAGGCCTTGACCTGAGAGATGTTCAAAATGAAATGAATGAGTGTTGGATTCTGACTGAATCTGTTTTACCTCTTCTTTCTGATGTTGCAATGTAGTTTGACACTTCACCATCTGAACTGTTTTCAGTCCAACCGACCAGACTGGATTCTGGGGTGTGTCAGCAGCTGCTATCCCAGCATGAAACTCCTTTTCTGTACAGACCTGTTCAGTGCTGAAGTGAGCTGATGCACACTCTTGAGGAAGACTTTGGTAAAGTAGAACTTTTGCTTTGCTTTGAATGAACTTCACCAGAGAAAATGGTTTTCTATTGTTTTGAAGAGTTTGCAAACTGATTTTGATGATTTGGTTTATTCATTTCATGTTGGAATCTGTTACTTTAACTCTCAGCTTGTAAAATTCTTAACCTGACAGGAGAACATGAGTCTCTGTGTGAGCAGGGAAAGAAAAGCTCTAGTGTTTGTGGAAATGCTGAAGTCCAGATGAGTTGATTTGAATGACGTGTGATGAGGCAGATTGTTGTAATAACTTGAGTTGTATGATGTGTTCTGTAACAGAGGAAAACAACACTAAGTATGTGGATGTTTATTGGTGTAAAGAAATGCATGTCTATTGTCAACGATTTGTTTTAACACTGCTTTAAAATGTCTCTCTCTACAGTTGGTTTCCTGGTATCAGTGTGCCACTGATTTCTTCCTGATTTCTTCCATCATGGAAAGGTTTGTTTAACACACAGCCGACAGAGTCTTCCTCCTCCTTGATTATTTGTAATGAAATGATAAAGCAGAATAAGGTTGTGAGGAATTTGATCACATGACGTCCTTCATTTTAATATTGTTGCATGTGAGTTTGTTCTGATGATTTCAGAAAACAGTAGGTGGGCTCCCCCTAGTGGCCACATATGTTTATAGCTGTGTTGCATCTCAGTTTACTGGCATGTTTACAACTTGTCCTTCAGTATGAAGACCTTCATACTTTATACTTTACTGATCTATGATGTGTTAAAACTGAATACTATTAGTTAGTGCCTCCAGTCTAACCAATCCTCCAACCTGAACAACCATATGGGTTGTTTTTGTCAACCCTCTGGTACAACCCATACATAAGAGTGTCTCCTGAAATAGCACCCCTACAGCGGCAGGTGTACCCAGCCTTGGTTGTCATGGTTACAATAATAAACAGGCAGACTGTACCAGCAGAGGCTTACTAGACTTCGGACCTAGGTCTCTTCCAATCTCTTGTTTTTAATCCCCCGGTTTGTTCGTCATGGAGAGGAGGACACCTCTGTCGATAATTCAGCCGCCGATAAAAACCTCCTGAACGTCTGGTCCATAAGTTATTAAAGAAACAAAGGTAAACAGTCCGTTTCCAGACATCATGTGTTTGCCTAAAAGCATTGGTGAAACACTCATTTCACTTAGTTTTCTGCCTTCATTCAGATAGCTACATAAGAGAGACAACAAAGTCAGGGAGAGAGAGAGAGGGGATGACATGCAGGCTGTGGGTTGGGCTGGAACCTGGGCCGCTGCGGGTAGGACTAAGTTTGTGCTACGCGCTCTACTAGGTGAGCCACCCCGGCACCCAGAATTACTGATTTTTAAAGTGAAAAGGCTTTATAGGAGCTTCTAAAACACTCGCTGAATTAGGCCCAATGGTTGTCCTGCTAAAATTCTTTGATGTGGATCTCTACTATCCATGGCTCTTCTCCCTGTCAGAGCTCAGCACACAGATCAGTGCACCATCTTTATTCACTCAAAATTTGTGTTGTATTGAAGCCCAGAGCAGCAGCACACACTAAACTCTGTTGGACCTGGACCTGGACCTGCACCTGGATCCAAAACCAGCTATGTGTCCAAGAAGAGCAACCGATCAATGTCTCCTCCTCTTACTTTCAGACAATCTCTTGATGAAAGGTGAGAATTTCAAACTGTCAGAAAGGCAAGTTGGTTGTTGTGTTTATTAAAAGATTGAACATATTTTTCATCATGGTTTATCCAACATGTAGGTTTCTTTTTTTCAGTATTCAGCAGCAGACCAAACTCAGAACCCAGCTGTCTGTCTTTAAAGAGCGACAAGTCGAAGGGCTGGTCTATTGATTTTAAAGGACAATGTCCATCGTCTGATTAGATGTAAGCTGTAATTAACAGTAAGGTTATTTTAGAAAATAACTAGTTTGTACGATGTGTTGTGAAAGAGCTGAGAAAGCAGTTCAGATCCTACCTACTTTCTCACCTGCACACAGCTGACCAATGACTGAGGGAGGTGGGTGTTTCAGATGCTGTTTGACCATCTGACAAACACCTCTGATGGAGTAAAATGATCCTTAAAATGTTCCCGATTCAAGTTTGAACTGTCATTTACTCAGTGAAACTTAACTGGTTAATTATCTGTATTCATAATGGGGGCTGCCCAGTACAACCAGTCTGATTTAAGCAGACACAGAGCAGCTCCACTGGAGTAGCTGGAGGTTCTAGGTGCCTTGCTCCAGGGCACTTCAGCAGTGTTCAGTGAGGGAGGGAGAGCTATATGGAGGGTTGGTGAAACACTGAGCTGAAAGCTACAAAGAGCTGCAGACTGAGCTGGTGACTCTCAGTGGGATCAGCAGGACTAGTAAACCTTTACCACTACAGGGAGTTGTCTGATTCACTGTTCACATCCAAACATGATTTCATGGACCTTTAGCTCATGTCTGTCTCTGCATGGACAGACATAATGTGAGCTCATTGTTCATGATTCCTCCACAGAGTGGACCAGGAGAGCTCAGAGGTTCCCAGTGGTCAGTCTGCCCAGCAGCATAAAACACGCCTGGACTCCATATTTATGGTCTGTACATGTACAACTACTGTTACATCTGTGCTGTTCACAATAACCTCCATGCTGCACTTTTAGATCAGTGGATTATCAGTCTGTCCAACATGGATCTGATGTTTGGGTCCATGGTTTTAGTTTGATGGTGTCATTCATATAGTTTTCTGTTCCAGCTGCTGGAGGAGAACATGGTCACTTATGTAAAGAACGAGCTGAAGAAGATCCAGAAGTTTCTGAGTCCAGATTTCCCAGAATGCTCAGAAAGTCAGATAGCGGATGGGGAGAAGTTGGCTGGTGAGGATGAAGAGCAGAAGAGGAGCAGCAGAGAGGCATTTATGAAGATCACAGTGAACGTTCTGAGGAGAATGAAGCAGGAGGAGCTGGCTGACTGTCTGCAGAGCAGTAAGAGGATTTCTCTAAAGATTCAATATGGAGAAATGATACACTAACATTTGAACACATGTAGGGAAATATGTTCATATAAGCATTCTTTAGGGGAATTAAAACGTCATTATCCCTATCAGTCATAGATCTTATTTCTTGTGTTCATTCAGGACATACTGCAGCAGTTTGCAGACATAAACTCAAATCTAACCTGAAGAAGAAGTTCCAGCGTGTGTTTGAGGGGATCGCTAAAGCAGGAAACCCAACCCTTCTGAATCAGATCTACACAGAGCTCGACATAACAGAGGGAGGGACTGGAGAGGTGAATTATGAACATGAGGTTAGACAGATTGAAACAGCATCCAGGAAACCAGTCAGACCAGAAACAACCATTAGACAAGAAGACATCTTTAAAGCCTCACCTGGAAGAGATGAATCAGTCAGAACAGTGATGACAAAGGGAGTGGCTGGCATTGGGAAAACAGTCTTAACACAGAAGTTCACTCTGGACTGGGCTGAAGACAAAGCCAACCAGGACATACAGTTCACATTTCCATTCACCTTCAGAGAGCTGAATATACTGAAAGAGAAAAAGTTCAGCTTGGTGGAACTTGTTCATCACTTCTTTACTGAAACCAAAGAAGCAGGAATCTGCAGGTTTGAACAGTTCCAGGTTGTGTTCATCTTTGACGGTCTGGATGAGTGTCGACTTCCTCTGGACTTCCACAACACTGAGATCCTGACTGATGTTACAGAGTCCACCTCAGTGGACGTACTGCTGACAAACCTCATCAGGGGAAACCTGCTTCCTTCTGCTTGCCTCTGGATAACCACACGACCTGCAGCAGCCAATCAGATCCCTCCTGAGTGTATTGACATGGTGACAGAGGTAAGAGGGTTCACTGACCCACAGAAAAAGGAATACTTCAGGAAGAGGTTCAGTGAGAAGAAGCAGACCAGCAGGATCATCTCCCATATCAAGACATCACGAAGCCTCCACATCATGTGCCACATCCCAGTCTTCTGCTGGATCACTGCTACAGTTCTGGAGGAGGTGTTGAAAACCAGAAGGAGAGGAGAGCTGCCCAAGACCCTGACTGAGATGTACATCCACTTCCTGGTGGTTCAGTCCAAACTGAAGAACGTCAAGTATGATGGAGGAGCTGAGACAGATCCACACTGGAGTCCAGAGACCAGGAAGATGATTGAGTCTCTGGGAAAACTGGCTTTTGAGCAGCTGCAGAAAGGAAACCTGATCTTCTATGAATCAGACCTGACAGAGTGTGGCATCGATATCAGAGCAGCCTCAGTGTACTCAGGAGTGTTCACACAGATCTTTAAAGAGGAGAGTGGGCTGTACCAGGACAAGGTGTTCTGCTTTGTCCATCTGAGTGTTCAGGAGTTTCTGGCTGCTCTTCATGCCCATCTGACCTTCATCAACTCTGGAGTCAATCTGCTGTCAGAAAATAAATCAACCTCTGAGTCTGAATCAAGAAAGCACAAATCTGCAGAGAGATGTTTCTACCAGAGTGCTGTGGACAAGGCCTTAAAGAGTCCAAATGGACAACTGGACTTGTTCCTGCGTTTCCTCCTGGGTCTTTCACTACAGACCAATCAGACTCTCCTAAAAGGTCTCCTGACACAGACAGGAAATAGTTCACAGACCAATCAGTTAACAGTTCAGTACATCAGGAAGAAGATTGAAGAGACTCCCTCTGTAGAGAAAAGCATCAACCTGTTCCATTGTCTGAGTGAACTGAATGATCGTTCTCTAGTGAAGCAGATCCAACAGTCCCTGAGATCAGGACATCTCTCCACAAATAAACTGTCTCCTGCTCAATGGTCAGCTCTGGTCTTCATCTTACTGTCATCAGAAAAAGAGTTGGATGTGTTTGACTTGAAGAAATACTCTGCTTCAGAGGAGGCTCTTCTGAGGCTGTTGCCAGTGGTCAAAGCCTCCAAGAAAGCTCTGTAAGTGTATAGATAGTTGGATTTATTCATCATTATATAAAGACACTTTCCTCTTTTAAACAAGAGAGGAAATAAATCCCTTTCTTCTTTAATTCCTTATTGTCATCTCTTCAGACTGAGTGGCTGTAACCTCTCAGAGAGAAGCTGTGAAGCTCTGTCATCAGTTCTCAGCTCCCAGTCCTCTAGTCTGAGAGACCTGGACCTGAGTAACAACAACCTGCAGGATTCAGGAGTGAAGTTGTTGTCAGCTGGGCTGGAGAGTCCAAACTGTACACTGGAAACTCTCAGGTCAGATCAAGTTCCTGTTTTAAATGAGTTTAAGAACAGTTTAAACAGCCTCTTTAATGAGTTTTCACAAAATATTAAATCTTCAATTTTTTTTCCAGGTTCACATTCTGTAGCTTTTGAACTCTAGCTCAGATATAGAAAGTCATTAATGCTCTGTTATAATGTGGTTTAGATGGTTCCATGTCAGTTTTTAAAGGAGCTATTTCTTTTGGTATTGCTACATAGGTAATGTTAGCATTAATAGTTGTTTACTTACCATCTTGTTACATATCTTTTAACAAGAAGGTTAGGTTTGCAGCTCCACAGCAGTCCCACGGTGTGTGCTCTTTGAGGATCAGCCCGGTCTCCAGAGAGCCAAAGTTCACTGCTCTCAGACCTTGTGTCAGCGGGTAGGTGGTTGATAACAAAGGGGTCGTTGCTTGCCCATTGACGGAGGTCAAAGCCCCCTTCTGAAAGTGTAGCTCTCAGTTTGTCAAGGAGTGTTTCAGCTGCTGCTGGTGAGGGGAAGCTTTGCAAGCAGTTGTCTAGAAGCATTGGGTTACGGAGTACTGTACATCTTCATCAGGTTGGTTGTCCTTCACATGCGTTTGAAGGGCATAAATCGCACAGCAAGGACTACAAGTAGTACCGAAAGGAAGGACCTGCCATTGGTACACTGAAGGGGGAATAGCTTGGTTCATGTCACACCATAGGAATTGAAGAAGGGGCAGATCTTGAGGCAGGTGACAGATTTGGTGAAACATGCCTTTACTGTCATCACTTATTGGCACAGCATGTTGCCTGAAGTGAAGCACAAAGCACCTGAAGCACCTGAAGCATGCCAAAGAGTGACGGCCCAAGGATTGGTCCTGGTAAGAGGTACTTGTTGAGGCATTGTCCTCAGAAGACACTATGCAAGCTTTGTTGTTATGAGTTACCATATGATGAGGAATGTTCCAGGCTTCTGTCGTACTGTGAACCTCTTCAGGGGTCAACTTGGCCACGTAACCATCCTGCTCCAGTTTTGCAATCTGATCGCTGTATGAGATGGCTTTGTCGGGATCCTTAGATAATCGAGATTCAGTGTTGCAAAGTTGTGGCATCACTGAAGACTGAGGAATGTTCAGGAGAGGAGTTTGCTAGCCTAAGAAAGGGAGTGGCATAGCGATTAACACCATTGACTTGAACTCTCTTTGTGGCTTGTTCAAGAAGCTCCATTGCTTGTTGTTCTTGCCTTGATCTGATGAATGCTTTCTCACTGCGTGCAGGTAGAGTGTCAAGTTTCCAAAGTTTTTCAACATGGTAGCGCAGTTCATCAGCAGGGGAACTGAAGGATGTGAAGAGGCACTGAACTGGCACCGGAGAATTCTTAGATTGGAAGTCCATCTTAGATGGGTTTTGACAGCTGCAGGTGACCCATAAGGATTGGAAGATGAGATGGAAATCTGATTTCTTGCTTGACACAGAGCTTTGGTTTGCAACCAAGATGAAAACACAAGCAAGTCCTACTTCATTTCACCTTCTTTCCTGTAGACATGTTGCTTCAAGAGAGTGTTCTGCAGGCAACTTTTCAAGGAGACGATCCATGAGAGTCACACAGAAATTCGGCCTCTCCTTGATCTTCCATGGTGCCAAACAAGCCAACAAGCACTTGTACACAAAGGGCAAAGTTATCAAGAGCATGACCATCACCTGCTCTGGTAGGAGGGAGATCCATGATGTTCCTGAGCTCCTTCAAGGCTAGCTGTCTGGGTTGCCCATAACATTCATTAAGGGCTTTGATGGCTTGGGTGTAAGGGTCAGAAGCATAGGAGAAAGCAAGAGTCTGTCGCTTAGCTTGGTCCACTTTTAGATGATCAAGGAGCACATGATATTTAAAATGCTATGACTCATTGGGATCAAGTAGATTATTGAGTGCCATATGAAGCATTCTGCACTGCATTTCATCTTCACGTGTAAGGTCTGGGAAAGAAGGGCCCTCAAGCTTGTAAACATGTGTTCTGCCAGTAGGGTGTGCCAAGGGCCTCTGTTCGTGGTGGCCATGAGATGTAGAGGACTGGGACATTAAAGGGGAACATTGCCTCTGTTGGGAGGAAAAGGAAACTAGAGGCTGGGCAGGGTTTACAACTGGAGGATTCAAAGGCCAGACACATGAACTTTGTAGGTGGCCCTCTGGTGGTGCTGCAGTAAGACTAGTAGGTGAAGACAGGATTGGTTTAGATAGACCAGCTGAAGGAACTGTAGCATCAAGGCTTGATAAGTTGGGAAAATGGGGTATAGCAGAGGAGACAGCAACAGGATGATGGCTGACCTCTGGTGGACAGGAGAACGACTGGTGTTGTTTAACTTTAATGCTTGTAAATTGAACAGCTTGATCTTCTACTTTGGAAACTACTGGTAAGCTGTGCACAGGGCGTCTGCTTCCAGTAGATGACCCAGAATGAGAGGTAGATGATCTATCCATGAAATGCTGAATGACTCTCAGTGTCACTGAAAGTTCTCTCATGATTTCAGCTTGATCAGTAGGCACAGGATCATCATCATCATCATCATCATCACCCTCTTCTCTTCTGTTGTCAGGCTCATGTCTTTGTTCCTCTTGAGTATCATCTTGCAACCCATGTGTGTGTGTGTGTGTGTGTGTTGGATGTTTTGTGCATTCACATTCTGTTTGACATGCAGCACCTTTAGCTCCAGGATATTGGACCTCATAATCTTATAGATGAGCATGGCGTCTAATCTCACTACCAGAACGTCGAAGAGTCCCATCTGGTGGTTGAGAATCCATGACAATAGGCTTAGCATTAATAGTTGTCTTGTTAAGGAGGACATTCAGAAGGAGAGGTGTACAGTCATGGGCATCGGTCAGACTGCATCGGCCTTGAAACTTTGCTTCGGAGGGGGGGGGGGGCAAACACACATGGGTTGTGAAACTGAAAGAAACAAACATAAAAATTAGAAGTTAAGTCAAAACTAATCAAATCCATCTTGAGGAAATAAGGATAAATAATACTCAACTACTCATGCACATAGGATAAAAACTAAAGAGAGAAAAAAAATCAGCTTACCAGCACTGCTGCCCCATGTGATGATCAGGAAAACGGTGAGTGAAAGGGTGTGCAGGGTTTAAATAGGGAGTGAACAGGTGAACTCAATCAAGTAAATGAGGAGTGAACAAAGGTTGAAAAGAGCCAAACAGTGCTGAGGAAAGGAGAAAAAAGGAAGTGAGGTAAAGGAAGTGAGATAAAGGAGAAAAGAAGTGTCAGAATAAAAGAAAATAGGAATCTTTACTACAAGTCTACAAGAAACTACTCACCAGGAGCTGTCCATAGGTGGAAAGCAGCCCCCTTGTCTTGCTTCTATTTCGATCACTTCTTTTCCTCTACTGACCAAATACTTTACAATACTGAGTCAATGTATCCTCCAGTCTGCCCTGAAGATTTAGCTGTTCAGAGGACATACTATAGCCTATTGTGCTGTAAACACAATGATGGCTGAAGCTATCAGTAAGACTGGTAAAAAAAAAAAACCTCTGTCAATGCTAACACTGGCTATGTAGAAATAGTCAAACTTACAAATTAGACAAGAAGCAGCAGCAAAACAGCTAAGAGAAACTACGACAACATGCAGGCAGCACGCTGACACACACTAGCTTGAATGACAAAGCTGCAAGTCTACAATTTATGCTTTGGAAATGGTTTGCAGCCAGTAATGTAAAATAAACAATTTGTAGTTACTGAGGCTAAATCATGCAAAACCACCAGTATGAGAAACCTTGAACCTTTCTGCCCTCTACAATCACAAGTGGGAAATGTCACAATCCTGTGTGCAGTCATTGCAATATATTACTCCATGTCTTTTGATTCATGTCAGTTCATTCTGTTGTCTCAAAAGTGCCTTGCAAAGGCACACACAGAGAAAGCCATGAGCCTTAATTGAGAACAAATTCCAGCTGTCCAAGCACCACAGGAAAACCTAAAAAAGACAGACACACAGACAGAGAGAGAGACAGAAAGCTTGCCAAATACCGAAACATTATTACTGTAGTTGTAATTATTATTATGAGCCTATTATTGCGTGTTATCAATAGGCTATTCATTGAGTCACATTGATTATGAATTTGTTACTACTTATGTAACACTGTCAAACATCGTGGTAATGAGCTTCCCATAGCCCTGCAGCTTCACATTGAGATTGTTGAGAACAGTATTCAGGTGAACAAGCAGTGCCAGGTCACACAGCCACATAGTGTCACTTAACTGTGGTAGATCTTGTCCTTTCAACTGCATGAAGTCAGTGATTTCTTTTCTCAAATGAAAAAAGCACTTGAGCGTGGCACCTTTGCTCAGCCACTGGACAGCAGTGAAGTATATGACATCACCAAATTCAGCCTCTGATTGCTCCAGAAAAGATTTGAATTGGCGGTGATTCAGACCTCTTGACTTGAGGAAATTCACTGCCTTGATAACAATGTCCATGACATGTTTCATTTCAAGCATATGAGCTGCAAGGGCCTCTTTCTGAATAATGCAGTGATATTTGATTAGATTAGGTTCTCTCCTCGGTTGTTGGCCACTTTTTCACAGAGCAACAAGACAGCACCTGCCTTCCTCCTGATCATCACATGTCCGCCATCTGTTGAAACACCGACCATGAATGACAGCTTCACATTGTATGCATCAGGACTATAACACACAGCATCACAAATGACGATTCCCCTTGTCCTGTCATTGATACTCTCCATGCTTAGCAGCTCCTCGCCTATTTCAAAGTCATCCGTTACCGTTCAAATGAAATTCAGCAGTTGCACAGTATCTGAAATGTCTGTACTTTAATCCAAGTCTACAGAAAAGCCCCCTTGCACAGTCCCGCCACATGTTGGCCCGATTGCTCTTTGAGATTGGTGGCCAGATCTTCGATTTGGCATGTCACCGTGTCATTTGACAAATTTATGTCATGAAACTTTGATTTTTACGTTCACTAATGAAATATCACTACGTTATCCCACGTTTTAACTTCTCCTCATGAGATAAACCCTGAGAGTGAACAGGATTTTAATGAATCAGTTCCTGAAGTCTCAGCTGCTCTGCAGTAGAGAGAACAGGTAGTTGTGGTGATGCTTCTGCTAAAGGACCAGTACAAAAAATTAGAAAAAAAAACTACAAAATGTTCAGAGGGGTTTCAACTGCTTTCAACTACAAGTGCAACTACCTAGCAGTAGTGACTAATTTTCATTGGTGGGACTTTGTGCATGCATGTTAGCCTTTGTTGAAGAAAATTCACTCAAGTCCTTAGATTCAAGTTTATTGGTATCCCAGGATACGGTGAGCCAACTGACACAGAGCGGGTCTGAGGCAGTAGACTGACCCAGAGTGTAGGGCAGGGGGACAGTTATACAGATGCAGACAAAGGGATGGACAACTGTATTTACATAGACCTGGGGTTACAGACATTTGGTCAGACAGGAAAGGAGGTTAGAAACAAAAGGTAATGTTTATCAAGAGGTCTTGTAGTGTAGCACCTAGGTTCAAGTTATCAGGGGGTAGGAGGGGCTCTTAGGCTGGATTGGCATATCCGCAGGTAGGGCAGGAAGGGCCCTTAGACTGAATCAGCATATGCATGGATAGGGCAGGCGGGGCCCCTAGACTGAATCAACATATGCACAGGTAGGATGTTGTTAAGACAATGAAGCGTTGGTAATGTAAGAAGGAAGAAGTGGTGTTCTCCTTAATGAAAGGATCAAGGGGCCAACTCAGTAGGGTTATAGAGTTGTTCATAGGTGTCAGCAAGTCTACACTGAATACACTGAAGATTGTGTATATTCTTCCTCGCCTTACTATTTAATTCAAAGCACCACTCTAAGTAAAGCCCCACAGAAGTTACTGTTAACTACCTGATTTTGTCATTGTATGTTTTTTGGGGTTTTTTTATTTTTTATTTATTTTTCTGGAGACATTTTCTTCCTGTATTTGACAGGACACAGCAGTATCATCAGAGTGTATGTGTGTTGTTTTGTGTGTCTTCAGTCTGTCAGGCTGTCTGGTCACAGAGCAAGGCTGTGCTTCTCTGGCCTCAGCTCTGACTTCCAACCCTTCCCATCTGAGAGAGCTGGACCTGAGCTTCAATCATCCAGGAGAATCTGGAGTGAAGCTGCTGTCTCCTGGACTGGAGGATCCACACTGGAGACTGAAGACTCTGAGGTATGTAGAGGCCTGCTCCAGCCACAGATAATGTTTGATAGAGGAGGAAGAGCTGGAAATATTTTCAGTGTCACATTATTGCTGTCATATTTAGGAGAAAAGATCTCACAGTTATGAAATCAGCTGTTGTCAGCTGTATTCTGTTAGCTAAGCAGAAATTTCAGCGTCATTGTCCCTACAGATGTTTTTTAAAAAAAATTTTATACTTTATTTCTGGCTGGAACATTTCAGCTGCTTCTGAATGAACACAGTGACTTTGATGAGGACTCCAGATCCTCTTGAATGTACATCCATACATACAAGCCTACATTTGAATAGAATAATAAAACTGAATAATAAAAGTCTGTGTATCAGAGCCATGTAATGTCCATGTCTGCATGCTGAAAGATATTGTGCTGGTCTGACCCTCCTCTTTTCAGGGTGGAGCCTGATGGAGTCCGATGGTTAACACCAGGTCTGAAGAAGTGTAAGTGTGTTTTTCATTTGAGTCATGAAAACAAAGCAGCACATTCAACCATCTTCAAACTGTCACTTCACTCATTCAGATCAGTGATGTCATGAATCATCATCAAACTGTCAATATATGATCAGTTGATCAATAACTGCAGCTGTGTCTTGTTCTCTCCATCAGATTCATGTGAACTCACACTTGACACCAACACAGTGAACACAAAGATCAAACTGTCTGACAACAACAGGACGATGACACATGTGGAGGAGGATCAGTCATATCCTGAACATCCAGACAGATTTGACCAGTCTACTCAGCTGTTGTGTAGAACTGGTCTGACTGGTCGCTGTTACTGGGAGGTCGAATGTAGAGGAGGGGTTTACATATCAGTGAGTTACAAAGGAATTAGAAGGAGAGGAAACACAGACGACTGCAGGTTTGGAAGGAACGATCAGTCCTGGAGTCTGTTCTGCTCTGATGGTGGTTACTATGTCTGGCACGATAAGAGAGGAACATCCATCTCCTCCTCCTCCCCCTCTGACTCTAACAGAGTAGCAGTGTATGTGGACTGTCCTGCTGGCACTCTGTCCTTCTACAGAGTCTCCTCTGACTCACTGATCCACTTCCACACCTTCAACACCACATTCACTGAACCTCTGTATCCTGGGTTTGAGTTCTGGTCCTGGCCTGGTTCCTCAGTGTCTCTGTGTTTAGTGTAGCAGAGAGTCTCCTCCTGTTAGACAAACTTTCTCACTGTTGAACAGTCTGTACATGTCTGTCTCTTTCACTCACATACATGATTTCAGTTTGTTTGTTTAATCCTGAGCATCTCAGAAAGTCCAACACCCAGAGGAAAGAAACTTGTAAAACTGTCTTTCAATGGTCCATTGAGTTACCCTGAAGAGTTTTGGCCTCCTATATACCCTGGTCATTACCCTTCCTATCTTCTTTTATTTTTACAAGTACGTTACACTATCGTCATAGTATACATACACTGCCTCTGCTAATCATTAATTAGTTAAGAGTGTCTCTATGATTATCATTTTTTATTATATATTTTCTGTCAGCTTTGTTGTCATTTTGTAAAATACATACCCTTAATTAATTATCTACAGTGTATCTCTTTACTAGGATGGATAGATGAAATCAATTCAACAAAAGCACGGTGTTGCCTCAAAGTTCAGTTTTGTGTCAATATTTGGTATAAGGTATTTATAAGATTCTACACATTCTGCTGTCTGACCTTTTAATGGATGCGACTTCATGTATGTTGCTGTTGTTCATGTATGTATGTAATCATTGTTATTTTTTTATGGTACATCTCCTTCCTGCCACTTTTTTGTGCCTTTATTAAAGTAGCAGTGAGAGAGAGACAGGAAGGATTTTCTTTAACTGTGTATGCTTTGGTTGTCACCTGAATATCTTCACATTTCATATTTTATTTTACAGTACATCCTTTGGTTGTCATTTATTACAGTGTATCCGTAGTTTGACATGTTTAACCAATTACAGAAAAGATGGAAATAATGATATACGGAATATTATTCAATGTTCAAACCACAGTTTCAGGACCGTAGTTTTTCGCCACACTACCACCTAAGGGAGTGGACAACAATCGTAGTGTGAGTATGACAGCTCTAAAAAATATATTAAGAGTAGTAAATTAGTTACTTTACTATTTTAGCTGTCTACCATATTTATAATAGTAAAATTATATATCACCATGTATAATACACAACGGTCCTGAAACTGCAGCCTTGTGTAGGCTACTGCAGGAACTTAACATTGCCCAAGCTTATGTTAGCAACATTAAACTGCTAAATTAACTTTTGTGGGTCGTTCACTTTCCTTGTTATTGTTTATTATTGTAGAAAAGATATATACAGTATGTAGTATTTTATGTGTCCCCAGAGTCGTCCTTGTGTCTTGCCTCTCTCCAACCTTTCGAATATCTGGATGAGATCAAGGGACGGCAAAGGCCATAGCATATGATTCCATCTTTATTTTATCTGATAATTACCTAATTATGATACTTACACAAACTGCCCAACATGCAACTCGTAGCAACAATTTTTGCCCTCTGATTAGTTTCGATTTTAGTAAAAACAAGAAGAGCTTGATACAAAATAATAAAAACTGGCATGTTTGAATCCACAGTGTTTAACAGAGGGTCGCCGTTTCGGGGGCGATAAATTACAACTGACAGTGACAGTTCTAGGAGATCAATAATTTTTATTTGAATAGCTAAGCAGTACTATAGAATCCACTTACTCTCACATATTACAGCAATGAGGCTGCACAAAGTGAACCATCCTTCACTGTCAAACTGGGGAAATAACAAATACAATGGGATTAAGTAGTCTAAACATAGCTGCTTGTGTGCACATGATAAATCTTTTCTGATTTTATATTTATTATACTTATTAGCTACATGGCCCTACAGTGTAATTGCATACAAGAATTTTAACCAGAGCTTTTCACATCTTGACTCTTGCAGTCCAGAGTAGCTGGAGTGATTAAAAATCAAAAGGAAATGTAAAAGTGGGGATATTGCCAGTTTTTTAGCAAGAAAATGCTGAGGACTGAACAGGAGGAAGAGAAGGAGAGAAATGAAAAAGGAGAAGACAGTATGCTGGAGAGAGCAGGAGAGTCAGAGCAGGAGAAGGCCACAGAATGAAGAGATGAAGAAATAAGTGAAAGAGAAGAGGAAAAAGAAGAAATGAATGTGAGGGATGAAGATTCAGAAAGAAGGACAGAGGCAGGAAGTGATAAGGAGGCAGATGATGATGATGAATTTTGATGATCTAGTTTTTGTCTTGTGTCAGTCTGTATTTTCAATCTTGGGCATGCTGCTTTTATGAGAGTGCCAAACTGAATTTCGTTGTAGAAACTACAATCACAT